GAACAATAACACAGAGCCATGCTTCTCCTTCCTTGTGTGGATGAGTTTGCGTGAGAGTGAGTGCTCTGTTCCCACAAAGATCTTTGGGTCATCTCTTTCTGATTGGATGGTTCATGGGTTCAAGCTGGAGAGTGGCTACAGCTGACTGGTCCTCGGGACCACAGACTGCCCTTTCCCCCCGTGCGAACCTTTACTGTGACTGTGTCCGGTGCCACAGGTGCAGGTGTCACCTGGCACTACATACTGTTCCTCCTGGTTCTCTTGAATGCTGGGAGTTCAGTTTAGTGAAAGCCTGGTTGTTTGCTGGCTCAGTCAGCTCTTCATGAAGAAACAGATGTATGTCTTTTATTGGTTTCAGCTTATTGTGTTACCTGTGCCTCAGTGTTCAGCCTTTGCAACCTGAATGTTAATGTACTGTCCTAATAACTGGAAACAGGCCTGAGAACACTGGCTAGTGACCAGAGGGAACAACACAAGCCAGACCATCTGTCTCCTGATGACCCTGAGCCTGGTGTGGCCTGTGCTGCACCTCTGACTCCTCACTTCTTGCCACTGCCCGACAACTATTGATCTGCAACTGACCCACCTTTGGTCATGCAGCAGGACACGAGCCCTGTGAGGACAGAGTGTACTTGGCAGTTCAGATGACTGGCAAACAGCTGGTCCAGAGAGGAGACATCCTAAAAAGGCCATGAGCTTTCCTCTGGTGCCACCTTTAGGTTAGAAATGGGGAAACACACCTAAAGGGTGTTTGTCTGCTGCTGACTACCCCCAAACCCACCCCCCAAATAAAACACAATTAACAGCAATAAGTTATCAAAAACACTGAAAAAAGAAAGGATGTCAATGTTAAATGCTGTATATGAGATGCACATACAGGTGATAAAATGACAACCCAGGCATTCAGGTGTTTCCTTTCACGCATCACCTGTGTGTATGTAAACTGATGAAGACACAAAGCTGTAACACCTGTTCCCTCAAACACAAACCCACGCACATCTGGAGTGAGTTCAAAGTCAAATCAATCTCCTGAGTTTGAGGCTGAGATCAGGGAGCAGGGTTCTGTTTACCCCTTGTGTTTGTCTACACATCAGAAACTGAAGACAAACAAAAACTGTGTACCTTCTACTGCGACCAACAGGAGCAAACAAAGTCAGACTCCAGTTGTCCAATGGTTGTGGTTTCATTTTATTTATTTTAAGACTGAAAATGAATTAAAGTTTGCTGTTACCTTGGCGACGATGAACTCTGCGTCCTCGGGGCTGTCGAGCTGCAGTTTCTGAGCGATGTCGGCCAGAGAGATCCGAGAGTATGACAGGCTGATCATACGCACACCTTTATGCACACAAACACAATGTTAATGATTCAGCACACAAACCAAAGTGTCAACATGTGACTCCAACTGCGTGAAGCACAGTTTCACAGGCTCACAGAGCTTCACATATAGCCAACCAGCTCAGCAATGAAGCAGATGTAATGTGAACAATACCTGCTGGCTCAGACTACGTCCTGGAGAATTTAATTTCTGACCAGTTTCTCTTTCTGAACTAAAACTAACAAAGCTCTGAGATGAAAAGGGAGTTATTTACATGTCTCAGGGCTTTTTTTTTGTTTGTTTGTTTTTTTAAATCAAACTCATCCGTAGGCAACATCAGCTCATCTGCAATCTCCCCCGTGACCTAAACCAGGACTTCAGAGCTTGCTGCGTCTCCACTGGCCAACCTCGTTGTGCTGCGCTTTAACTCCACCCACCCGAGGGGTTACCAACTACTGATCATCACTGATTAAAAGTCAACATAAACACACACAAAGACACCACAGAGTGGATGCTAATGACCTGCCATAACCCCAGGGACAGACGCTGGCACTCAGAAAACACCCTGATTAAAATGCAGGAAAACTGCAAACACACACACATTAACACGATGTCAAAGGGGCTGAGGCGTGCGATTGGCTCACCGGTCTTGATGACATTGTGTCTCAGGCGGATGATGAGTGTGTACGTGCCGTCGGTCTGAAACTTCTCCCCAAACTGCTCCAACACCTGGTTGAACTTGGCCAGGTTCCCCGTCCTCACCGCTGCACACAGGTCAGAGGTCAGACCAGGATCCCACAGCACAAACATCAGAAATCAAAAATAACATCAATGATCAGTATTAATTTATGGACCTATTGTCGCAGCACCGGTGTGTATCCAGAGATGTGTATTTCTGTAGCTGTGAGAAACAACTCGAATCAAAAGTGAGAACTTTATTGTGAAGAGGGGCAGGTTTTTAGGAAGTCAGGACTAAAGTGATGACACATGTCAGGGTCCTCACAAGTACAGAAGCACAAAGATGTGTGTTTAGACACTGACCCTGAGTGAGTAGGAAGTAGGGCATCAGTGATCTCTTGAGCGACGGCTGTCGGAACTGGAGTCTGTCAGGAATCTCTCCCAGCAACAGCTCCACTACGATCAGCAGCTTGTGGACCTGAAGCAGAGACACGTTTCAAATCTCTGCTTCTACTCCAACATGACGTTAGGTAAAACGCCCCACTGTGTGACAGTGTGTGTCACTGTGTCAGTGACTGCATTTACATGCTCTTAAGTAACCAGGGTACTGAGAGAAACCAGGCTACGGCAGAAATCTGATGTCTTTTAAACCCTTCTGTTATAAAACATGTAAAAACAATAGTTACATGTATTTTAATGGTATGAAACTTCTTCTTGGCTTAATAGGTATAATCAAATTATAAAATGAAAATCGGTTCATCTCACATATTTGCAACCCCCCCCGCCCCGCATGTTGATATTACAAAGATACTGTTCGGGTCAATTTGACCCCGAACAGAAGACGTGTCTCATGTTAATTTATCAACATCACTTCATAAAAAGACAAGATTTCAAAATGTAAAAGAAACTTAAAAAAATCAATGTCATGTAAAAATAATGTATTTTATATGTAGGTCTTTCCAAAGTACGTAAAAAAAAATTTTAACATGCATTTTTATTGAAAAACCAGTGCATTATTCTCATTGAACCACAATCTGTGAGAGGTAAAGAACACCATTGCACTAAAGTGATTGAAATGGTTAGTAATGGTAAGATTTACCCAGGAACATCACTGCTGTTCCTGAGAAATGAACATAACAGGTGGGTTAAATCAGTTTACTCAAAAACCTCTGTATACATGAGCTCCTAACTAATCTGATTACGCCCACCCTCAATGGGTCGGTGGCCCAGCAGCTCATCCAAAACCTAATAAAATGGACACAGACTTGGCTCACTACCACTAGTCTTTATGCATTTTAACTGTTTTAGCATCTTCCCTCTACACCTAATCCGCTCCACTATCCTCTTGTAGCCCTCCTCAGCCTTGTGACCAGACAGCCTCTTAAATATAATCACTATTTCAGTGCTTCCTACCACCCAGATATTTAAGACATTCAGCATTATAAGCTCTCTTCACTGATCTAGTAATGCTGGCTTCTTGTAGTTGCTTTGCATGTGCTGCTGCTGCTGCTCGCCATGTTGATAATCGTCTGTTTATGCCGGTGACAACTTCCTGTTTTTCTCCAGTCATGTGCGCACAAGTGACCTTGGAGCTTGTCTTCTGCACATGCACTCTTGTAGAAAGCCGATTAGAAACCTGGTTACACGTATAAATGGCAGAGAAATCAGCATCCTCCGGGAGAACTCTACCTGGGGAAATCAGGTTTCCCTAATCTCCTATCCTGACCAAGGAAACCAAGTTTCTGTTTACATGAGTTAAGAAATCAGGATACTCGAGAAAGCCGATTGTAACCCAGTTACTTAAGTGCATGCAAACAAAGTCCGTGTGCACACCAACCGTCTGTTTGAAGCCCACGGCTGTGTGTTGTGGAGCTTTCCTCAGAGCATTGGTCAGAGTTCTGCGAGCCTCCGAGTACTCCAACTGAATTGCCTTAATACGACCTGCAGGAGGTCACATGGTACACAGGTAAACACATGGGTCATCACAGGTGCACAACAGAAACTCTAAACATGAAAAGAACATTAATAAAGTGGATTTCTATGACATGATCATTCATTTGACAGGAAGTTTGAAAGTAAGACAAGTGACAGTTTCAAATTAATGTGACCAAAAACATCAAAATACAATTCAACTAAAATAAAATCGTATATAAAAATGAACAAATAAAACAAAGACAAAACTAAACAATTAGGAAGTAAAAACCAAAACAAAACCTTTTACAGTGTGATGAAGGTATCAGTCTCACCTGTGTAATACAGGTATCTGGCCCACTCGTTGTTGTTGGCGAGTTCAGGAAACACCGACTTGGACACCAGTTTCTCGGCCTGGTCGTACAGGTTGAAATGCAGGTAGTTCCTCAGCAGCAGGTTGAGAAGAACAGCCTGACCATCAGCGTCATGACGCAAAGTCGCCGTACGCAGGCGAGTGTGGAGGAAGCTGACGGGTAACAAACAGACACACTGTTACAGACAGACCAATAAACAGCTCCATCACATTGCTCTGTGCAGCACGGAGAGCTGGTGGAGCAACCAGAGGAGCGACCTGTGGCTCAGTCTTCAGACTGTCCACAGTGACGCCATTCTCAGCCTGTTTGTTTCCTGAGTAAGAAATCTGCCCCCCAGCACAGTGGTGTGGCCCACCTGGGTGGGGGGGGGTTATTAGCTGGTGGAGGAACAGTGGAGGCCTATGGCACAGACTGGGAAGCTGAACCAGGGTATGGATTCATACACATTACAGTGAGTAAAGGAAATAGCCAGAACCTTAGATAATTAAACCATTAAACAAGATCCAGCACTAACATCAAACACAGCCCAAGCTCGTGTGTGTCTGTTGTGTACCTGCGTATGGTGTCGAACTGGTTGAGGAACTCGTACACTCTGGCATGGTAATAATAACATTTAGCAGCGACCAGATCCAGAGCTCTGCGGTTCTTGGAGCCAATCTTCTGCAGCAGGTCGTCAGACACTTTCTGAGCCTGAACAACAAAATAACATGACAACAGTCATCATTAAGCTGTTTATCATTAAGGTGACTGAAATGTGTGTATAGCATCAGAAATGTCAGATTGATCATCTTGATCAGACTGTTTCTGATTGAGATCATCATATGTCCAGATTCAGATTTTTTCAGACAAACTTCTTTTACAGAGTAAAAACAAATCTGCCAGTGGTCTATGGGGGACAAACTGTGGAACAGACCCATTTTCTCAGACACCAGCTTCAAACACTGACACTGTCACAGATCCACAAGTTCCCTCCCACACATATTACAAGACATGTGCTCATCAGATATCAAAAGTGTGTCAACACATACAAATATTATATACTTTCAAATAACACGCCCACATGCAACATTTCAAATGATTTCTCCACTGAAAAATAGACAAAAAACACTGTTGCGTGTCTGGACAGTAGTTTTTCAAACATCAGTGAATCTGACGTGAACACTATCATTATCTGTTCCTCATTTTATCGTCCTAAAAGCCCTCATTTAATCCATTTATCATCAGCTGTTCGCTGTCAGTTCACACAGGTTCTCTGAGCACACCAAGGTCGCCCGTTAGAAACACAGGTGTAGAGTCAGACCTCTGTGTATCTCTTGTTGTTGGTCAGGTGAACCACCAGCAGCAGCTGCAGGTACGCCTCCACCTCTGGCAGCAGAGGTGCCGATGCCGCTTTACCCGTCCTCGGTCGAAACTGGACATCTCCATCTGCCATCTCCATCGGCTGGGAGACAGAGACACACAGCACGTATCAATACTGATTATCTGATCAGATATATCTGTGATTTAAACCATTTTATTTCATAGCCCAGACTTCCTGTTCAGTTGCTTGTGTTCAAATGTTAAAACCAATTTAGTTTGTTAAACAGAAGGGTTTCAGTAAACATTTCAAATTATACTCAAAGTACATTCATGAAATTTAGTTTTGGAACAGAAACTCTCCAAAAATGTTCTGTATCCATCTTCTTTATCTCACCAGCCTATAAACCAGACCTCTGTGTTTTTGGCCTATTTGACAAACTGAAATCAGGCTGCAGTCTCATTGTTACTTCCATCATTTAGGAACCAAACTGATGAACTGTTTGGTTTATAAGACGGCAAAAATTAAAAACAAAAATCACCTGCAAGTTCTCAGCGTGGGAGTTTCATCCTCCTGTTTTCCTTGTCTGAGCTAAATTCCTAAAAACCCAAATGGGCTTCAGCTCACGATAATGAGAGAAAAGCTGCAAATCCTCAGACAAGATGTTAAAGCTACAAAGGTTTGACCTTTCTATTTAATAAATTAATGTAAAATGATATTAGGTTATCAAATTCACAGTTGATTACTTTTATGTCAACTGACTAATTAATTGATGGTCTGATTGTTTCAGAACTGAAGAAGCAGTGATGAGCATATTTCTGCTGTCTGCAAGGTTGATCAATATTAAAAGTGATCACTGATCGCAGCTCCTCACCTCCTCCAAGAAGCCCAGCAGGAAGTCTCGGGTGGTAGTGTTGTTGGTGAAGAATCCACAGATGGCTTTGTGCAGCACGCTGGTGTTGAGACGGCGGCTGGTGGAGGGTAACGCCCGCAGAGCACGGAGGACAAAGCGAGGCTCCTTCCCCAACACGGCCTTCTCGATCTGCTTTACTTGTTCCTTAATGTCTGAGGCGGATCAGAGACAAAGAGGAGTCGTAGGACAAAAAAAAGAAAGACGCAGCAGATAAACAGAAATCAGGCATCAGTAGGTGGCGTCTCTGAGCTCAAACAGAAGACGTAACAGTTGTATTCATTTAGGCTCCAGTTTGTTATTATATGTTCAGTCTCAGCGCCACTGCAGTATGTATATATATATATATATATATATATATATATATAGCACAAACACTGAACAAAAGGTGCACCCTGCAAAAATACACTGTTACTCAAACCTGTACTGAATCTGTGGACCCTCCATGTGTAACTAGTCCAGGTCTGACAGGTCTAAACACAGAAAGGACACAGACCTCATCTAGAGTGATCTGGGTGGAAATATATATATATTAAACTCACAGTTTTACTATTTGCATGAACAAAATGATGTTTTCACACATATGGATCCAGTCTTGTGTCGAAATTTGTTACCCCATTGAGATGTACGCCCCCTGATAAAACTGCGTTTCTAATAGTGCCCCCTCAGTGGTTATGGTTAGGATAAGGCAGGGGATCAGGTTAGGGGGGACAGATCTTGACACAACACCAGGAATAAACCATTTTCAAAGTCTACTCATTACCCAAGTCAAGGTGCTAAGTCTACATACTGTCTGGTTATACCAGGTCTGATGTGGTCAGTGATGTTTACTACCTGCTATTTACTGGTAGTGCTATGTGTGACAGCCAAGCTTCGAAGCTTGTGCCGAGCAGAGGGAAGGTTCCCAAATGAAGCTTTAATTTAGAGCTTGTGTCATTGCCCCATTTGTCACATGACCGAGGACAAACAAGGCCTCGCTTTGCTAGAATCACGTGAATGATTCGTTTTGTGCTTGGAGTAGATTTGGTCCAAGCTCCTTGAAATGGATGATTCCTTCTACTCCAATCGGTAGGCTGGACTGTGACACTTGTTACTGCCCACAAAACTGTCCATCATACGTACAGCTTAATTATAACACCACTGTCAGCTGTCAGTGAAGACTGCACCATTATTAGCCGCTCCATGATGTGCAGCATGAAACTTGTGATGTCAGGGTCTGTTTGCTACACAAAATGTGTCCACTACACGTCTGAAATAATAATGAGCTCCTAAACGAGGCTTCATGAGCTGAACCTTATGGTGAAACTATTGGCTGAGAAGCCTCGACACCTGAATGCGGCTTCATCTCGCATCATTAGTTACCGTCCACTGGTCTAACAACAGACAAAGAAGGATGACAAGTATTCACCTACAACTCCTGAATTAAAGCCTTGTTGTTGGGTTGTTATAGATATTCTGTTGGTGTTTAAATTAACAGATTTCCAACGCTTCATCACAGCGTCTGTTAGCATAACAAGCTAACAAGCTAGCTAACATTCTCTCCTTTAAACCGGAGCGACAATATCCCGGCTCCTGTACCTGAGACTCCCGCTGGTTTTAAGCACATTATTTAACGTCATTTTTACCGTCCAGGGTCAGGCTGTCCAGCTCTTTCGGCTGCTTAACAGCGTTGGCCGCATCCTCCTCCGGCATCTCCACATCCTGTAGCTCTGGGCCCGGATCTTTCGGCTTCTCGGCTTTGGGGTCCCGGCCTTTGTCCCGCCGCTTGGCCGCTGTCTCCTTCATAATTTCTGGAACATAAACAGCAGACTTTAAAATATAAGCCTCTGATAAACAGTTCAACATTAATTGGATTTTAACTGTGGAGAGTACCACACTCACTTCTATTTGATCTCACAATGACTGGCAACTATTGTGAAGCGCAAGGGATTGTGGGAGACAGGATAACGAGCTGATCGCAGAAACAACAAACCCAGATGATCGATAACAAATCGATTAGCTCCTATTGCTGTGCCTGTTTAACAACGTTGTCACCCTACAGTTACCAACCAGTTAACTGAACTAAACAAAACTGTATTTAAAAAGAAAAACCTCTCATTTTCTAGAGGATGCTGTGATGTCATAGTCACCACAGGAGGGTGCCACCATGTCACAGGAACTCATCTGACCTGAAAGAAGATACCGGCATCCAGCTGCCTTTTTTCCTGCAGTAGTGAAGTAAATGAAGCCTCGATGCAAACAATTTCTACAGGTGTTCCAACTGTTGTTGATGACTTAGAACAGATTCTGTCCCTACAGAGGCAGTCTTGAAAAAGACTGTGTTATTACAACCTCTTACCTTTTCAGGGTTTCATCTTATAATAGGATAATGAGCCAAAAACACCTTCAGACTGTGTAGAAGAAAAGAACAAGACGGTTGGCTTCAAATGAAGGAATGGCTGCACAGTGTCCAGAATTTCCAGGTGAAGAGTGAAAGCTAAATAACCTATAGGTGCAACACATCAGTGGGAACATCTGCAGCAGTGCTGTTTGTCCCAACAGTATTTGATTTCAGTTGTAGACAGACTGACACAGGTGTGTTCACCTGTTAGACTACACTCATAACAGCTGGAAATACAGGGGCTCTAAAATGTTTGACCAGTAGTATGTGTGTATAAAATGCCATTTAGGTTTCTGATCTACTTAGATGATGTTTAGCTTCAGCCTGCAGCCTCAGATGGAAACACTTTCTTTCTTGATTTTCTCCCCATAAAGAGAAGCTCTGCTCAGTCTATTGAAAGAAAAGCTGATGAGTTTATTAATGAGGAAATAAAACCATCTTCCGAGGTGGAAACTGTTCTGCAGACATGAAGACAAGAAGGCATGAACTCCCCTAAAACACATCAAACACAAACGTGTGTCGCTGTGAAGAACCTCAGTCCACTACATCCGCCTCTCAGGCTTCAGTTCATCTGCAGTCAGTTTACCTTTCACACATGAAGTGAACAGAACCATAAACACTTTATTTACATAGTTTAAATGTCATAATAAAATCATACCACTGTAAACAAACAGTGTAATAAACAACAACAAAGATGAGACAAAAACTGACCGAAACAAGACGAGGAGCAGCTCTGTGAAGCTCCTGTTAACTGGGCTGAGCTGAGGGGAAGTTACTGTGGCAACAGCTTTAATTAAATAATAAACGCAGAGGCTGACAGAAACTGTGCTGCTGTAATAAGCCCTGTTGCCAGAGGCCCTGAAGATTCCAGAAATCTTAGGGGAAAGTTGTAGAAGGTTTTAGGGATAAGGATAATCACCTTTATTGGCCAAGTATGTTACACACAAGGAATTTGTTTCCAGTACAGAAC